GTTCAAATTCGTTCAGAATCTTGTAGATTTTCACTCAAATAACCAAGTTAGTTGCAGTAAGTTTGCCGAAGCGAGTCCACTTCAAGCCCAAGTGAAGCTCTATGATAATGAGTTAGCATGAGCCAAATTCGGAAAATAAGCAAAATAGAAAGAACATCGTTGACTTTGTTTTCAACTAGGAACAGATAACTAGTTTAAAGACCCTTTCCATTAGACAGGACTGACTGTCCAGATCGACACAGAGARACTTTCTGGTTAGTATTCTATTCAGTCAAATAAATCAATTTCGATTGAAAAATCTCGACAGAGTGCATATTATTTACTTTAAAAGAACAGTCTGAACGGTGAAACTCTATCAAAACTGTGTGAGTTGAGCTGCTAGATCGTCCACGAACGATCGCGCGCACGGAACGTTTGACTCTGAGTATAGAACTTTTACTAGATGCATGCGGTAATGCAAGAATTTATATCAATTTTTTGTTTGGACCACAGCCTATACTTTTTAAAGCCTAGACAAGAGCAAACGAAATGTGCCCTGACCGGTCTGTCATTTAATCCGCGAAGTCTCATCTTTAAATTGAATATTAAGCAAAATAATTTAAATCGACCTGTAAATGTGTCTTTTTTTTCTAAAAAGTCATTAGTTAAAATCACGGTTTTGATTTTGTCGAGTATTTTAATTATTAGACGATTTTTGGAAGTTGTATGATCGGCAACGCCCCTTCCAAGAACTGACGCAGGCTTGTACTTGCCGAGACACGTCACACTATATAAGCCACTAAGCGGAATTGCAACATTCTGTTTGTACAACCAAGGGCGCCAGGACATATAAGAGTTTTTTGAATAGTGATATTACGATCGTATTTGTTATAGCTTTGAGTATCGTAGAAATTCACTTATCTGACTTCTTGTGTATATCTTGAGTGTATCCCGAATTCCCTTGGATAGATAGATAGATTTTATATTTTATATTCTTGTAATTTTTTCTCTTCATTTTTTTCCGACGAAAAGGTTTGACTATCATTTTATCGACAAAGACCCTTTGACGACCTGAGGCTCTTAAAAGATCATAACACACATCCCTTATCGATTACAAGGACGATTCTAGTACTTCACATATTCGAAGAACGATTTCTTTGCTTCAWTTTTTTGGTTACTATTCTTGATAAAATACATTTTACACAGGAGATTTAGGTAAGATGTATTTTATCAAAAAAGGTAAAAGTGTTTGAATCACATAGTTTGACCATTACCATGCACTGCAGTTCAAAACTAGTCACTTTTATTTGGAGGGATCCAACGGGTACAAAGCAGTATCCAGTCAGTTATTCAGACAATGGCGAGTCACAACCCATGATTACATTGTTGCACATTCTATATAAGTATTTTTTTAATGTACTTCTTCAGCTGTTGTTGTTTCTTTCGCGCTCCCCGCTGTAGGATGTGCAATGCCAAAAGACTAACTATATGTTTATGTTACACCATTTTAGCCAAGGCTCTCAAGTGCTATGGTTGTTTATCAACCAAGGATTGGAGTACATGTAATAGCGCCGAGAAGGAGGTCACTTGTGCTTCTGGTATAACGCATTGTCGGAAAGCCGAAGTCAGTGCCAAGGGAGGCGGCGCGGATGTGACAACTTACACAAAAGTTTGCAGCGATGACTGCGATGCTGACAAAATTGCTGAATGCAATAAAAAGAAAGAAGGTGATTATCATGAAATGTTCCTTGTATTTCTTGACGAAGATAAAAATTGTTTCTGTTTGCTGCAGTTTTTTGAAATTCCGCCAATGCTGGAACCACTCGAAACGTTCATTAAAAAGTAGAAAACCTAGTTACAAGTTGCGTATATATATAAAGTAGAAAACCTAGTTACAAGTTGCGTGGCTTTCTTCGATTTATTCTATTTATACATTAAAACAGAGATATTATAKCTTCAAGTTGGTGTTTTGTTCTATTTCATTCTACTTATAAATATAATATATATATGTGACCCTGTAGATACACCCAGATATGAATATTTTTTTCTATCTACAGGTGTCTCAGTGTCCTGCAAGATCAACTGTTGTACTGGTGACTTATGCAATGCAGCCTCAGCTCCATTGATCAGTGGTTTCATCATCATGACATGCGCACTGCTCGCAGCTTTCTTTTAGTTTGCAGATAACTGATCAGAGTTGAACCACCTCATTTTTTTTGATTTTTGTCACTTTGTAACTTCAATTAATGCACTTTTTTCTACATTTGGTAATAAAATTGTAAAAAAAACTCGAAAAGCACTATAACTCCTTTATTTCGATATCAAGTACTACAGCTACCTTCATACTTTGCTGCACAAAATGTCATCGCTGCACATAACATAAGTGGTCAGCCCCGTGAGGCCTGTT